CAAAAATCCATTCATTTCCATGCCATTGTTTTGGATTAGATTACAAGGGAATGAAAAAATAAATTAAAGCCAACACCCCACCGCAATTCTCTAAGAAGTCTGGACTCGGGGCTGTCTCGCACTAGTTCTTGCCTGTCTGCTGAGGATTATCAGGTTTTCTGTGGCTTTCACAGATTATGTCTTTGAGACTGAACCATTTGAAGAGACACGATGTTATCAGAAAAACAGGTCACACCCGCAGCCAACTGCCAGTGGGACATATCTGGCATCATCTTTATTTATTTTCTGAGTAGCTCCAGATACTGTTTATTTCTGATGGAAAATAAAATAAGGAACTTAGCCGCAGACCACAGAGAAAGGTAAATTCTGCCACCTTTCTACACAGTAGCAAGAAAGAAATAAAAGAAGAATATTCTCAAATCCTTTTGTTGCTCCTTTTTTTTCTTCTTCATTTAAACTAAAAATGTAAAAGGAAAACAGAAGAAACTGGCTATGGTGAAGATGCTTATTGTGTGCTCCTCATACAGTAATCTGACAAGTGATTGACAGTAGGCATTTTCTAGCAGCTAGAAAATCGCCTGTACTACATACACACACAGTTGGCAAACCCCTTCTTCGTGTCCTAAAAAGCTGTAGTCTAACAGGAAAAATCTGTTTCCCATCTCATCACCAAAGTTACATCCATTCTGCTCATTATATTTGTATTCTACTGGGAGGAAGGCCCAAAGGAACACTGCATACTACAGCACAAACACTTTGAAATGGCCTCATTGCTTTTTTCCCCACTGTCAAGAATGATACTGGGGAAGGGGGGGAGGTGGAAGAAGGGGATCTGTTACTTTCAGGTAAAACTGTAATATTATGTAACTGGTATCAATTATGGGTAAAATCAGAAGAGTCAAATTCACATAAGAGCAGTTTAGCAGGCACTTAGACAATTTGGCCTGACATTTTAAAAGAGAACTGATTTATTTTAAACAAGAGATGAAATCACACTGTGAACGATTACAGGTCTTTATCCTCTAAGGTTCATCTCCAACATTGAAAAAAAAAAAAAAAGGGACTTTAAAATGTTGTACTGGCACTTGTAAGCAATGACATAGAAGGCATTCATTTGTCTTTCAGTGATTTATGGTACTTTGCTTAACTAAATAACAGAAAATCTTCTACGCTTTTGAAATTCATCTTCACCATTTCCTTCTCAGTCTCAGTCACAAGTGTTGACACTTCTGGGTTAGAATCATCTTCTCTGGTTGTGGGTGCACTGCCCTTCCTCCATGCTGCACTCGAGCTATGTGTGTGCTGTGAGAAGGCCGTGGCTTTGATTCTGAGCATTTTTGACTGGGTATTACAGGCTTTTCATAGGATTTCAGTTTCCAAGTTTCAATCAGTTTTTCTACTACCGATCTGCACGTTTTGTCTTATTCTCTAAGAACAGAAAAGTTTCAAGGGCAAGAGAGTGAAAAAACACGTTTAACTATGACTTCTATCAGCCCAATTCCTCACTTCCCTTTACAAATGCCTCAAGAGGTTTGTAGTCATAGTGGAAAACAGCTTCTCTTTCAGCTACAAGTGACCAAACATTATTCTGCACTCTCCAGCAACACACCTGCTGCACGTGCTGGTACTTCGTATTCAGGTATTATTCACCCAATTAAGAGCTTCAAAATTCTACCTCACCACAGCTGCTGGACCCATGCACAGGTACAAATAGATATTTGGTGTGTGCAGTTTCAATACCCATCCTGCTGCAGTAATCTGCATTTGTTAGCCTAAAGGCTCTCATTTGTTTTGTGGACACGAGATTCTGCCTTTCATCATTCAAGTATTCAACTACTTTTTCACCCCCAGAAGTACCTGCAATGCAGCTGAGCAGAGCACCAGGAGGCTTGCACAGCAAAAGGAAATTGAAAACCAGGATTAGATTTCAGCTGAATTAAGTGGCTCTGTTGTGACAGTGGTTACTCAAAATACTTCATAAATTTTTCTCTCCCATCTGCAAATCACCGCTTATTGCTAACATATTTTGGCATGCTAGCTGCATTCTGCCTCTTTGGAAAAGAGATGAAAAACCTCTCCAGGGAGCACAAATTTCATTTCGACTTTCCCTCTCTTCCAAATTTTTATCTGGGAGACTCCATACTGCTCAGCACAGTGTACTTTTACACAAAGACTAGCATTAAGATTATTTCTTAGGGCAGCAACAACACTGCCAAAGCAAAATAAGTAGCATTATAACGTGTTTGCCCCATTTCTTTAAGGTCTTGTTCTGGAATGTGGGCCAAATTGAGGACTCGGCAAATGGACTGGTTACTTCCTCATTCTGCTCACCTGCTTCTATAGCACAAATCTAAACATTCAATAGAAAGCAGAGTCACGGAATGGCTTGGGTTGGAAGAGACCTCAAGAATCATCAAGTTCCAAGCCCTCTGCCACAGGCAGGGCTACTCTCAAGGAGTTCTTCTCCCACTCTTTATGTATACCTGGGACTACTCCAACCCAAGTGCAAAGCCTTGCACTTTGCTTTGTTGAACCTTACTAGGTTCACACTGGTCCACTGGACTTTCAAGGTCCCAGACATGAAGATTCAGGAGAGTGTTAAATTTACAGATGGGTCCAGCAGCAGATTTTCTGCTCTCAGATGTTTTCTTTTTTCTCCTTCCTTTATGTACCCTACACTGCAGTGGAAAACTCAGCTCACAGTCCAAATGGTGCATTTAATTCTGCCCAGGTCTTTTTACTTGGTTAAGATAATCAATTCACTCTCCCATCCAGTTTTCAACAGTCCAAGGTTAATTGTCCCTGTTTTGCTCTGCCCTTATGCCCGCCCTGCCCCAGAGCTGACAGTGTCAATTCCAAACCCAGAGATTTGCAGTCAGGAGGGCACGTGTGTGTCAGACAGAGTCCTGTTCACCACTGCATTCGATCACAATCTGTCCTCAGTGTATGCACTCAAGGACCAGCACAGGTGACCCATGTCAGCATTGCTGTGTGCTCTCCTGTGAGCTCACCACACAGCCAAGATCATGATTCACACAGGGCCAGAGCTGTTTTATTTCTCTAGAGGTAAATATGAAACAAAACTACCCTGGACAGCCCTTATACACGTAGTGCCTCCCCACCAGATCAAACACCTTCGACCATCTCCTCTTAGACCACAGATATGGATTCTCCTCACCTCCTTCCTCTGCTCCTGATGCTCACAGTGTCCCCCAGCACTCTCCAATGCAAGCAGAACAACAACATAAATCTGATTTTAAAGGGTTTGGGAAGACCTTGAAAAGCACAGTGGCATTTGTTGGAGTCGCAGTGCCTCAGCTGAGAGCTGACCTGCACACAGTGCGGGTGCCCCAAATCTTTGGCACTGCAATAGCCAAGGACACACAGAATGGGTTCTTTTGGCCTTCAGAAATGTTCCCTGAGTTTTCAAAGCTTATTGGCACCGGGCACCAGACAAGTGCCAGACAATATTCCCATCTTCCTTTGCGTTAAACAAGTATGATGCAGCAGTTGGATGAACAGGCATTAATTTAGGCTGCCCAGAGAGGCTGTGGATGCCCCATCCCTGGAGGTGTTCAAGGCCAGATTTGGATGGGGCCCTGGGCAGCCTGGTCTAGCATTAGGTGGGAAGGTTGGTGGCCCTGCATGTGGCAGGGGGGTTGGAGATTCATCATCCTTGAGGTCCCTTCCAACCCTGGCCATTCTGTGATTCTGTGATCCAATGTTAATGCAAACCACACAGTAATTCTGGTGTCTCAAGCTGCATGTTTCACACCACCACAACTCCGAGATGTACTCATTTTCCTGTAAGATGCAAAAGTGCTGAGAAAGTGTTGTTTTCCCAAGGGGGTCCCGTGGAGGGTTGAGGACCCCACAGGAGCGCTGTGTGTGGGGGAGGGGGGACCTCTGGCGGTGGCTGTATGTCTGGCCTAGGTAACAGCAGGCCCCCAAGTTATTTCTCTCATTACAGGAGCTTAATTCATTTGCTATGTGAGACATCGGCACATAACCCAATACAGAGACACACTTTATCATCCTGGCCTCCAGCTATGAGCATGAAGCACCTAAAAATAGAGCAGTGCACTCTCAGTAATATTTCATTAAATGCTGTCAAACCCGATGCTGCCTGCCCAACCACAGCCGTGCCACAAAAATAGCAGCTGCAGGAAGCAGCTCACCTCTTGTCAGCTTTAACCTGGATAACACAGATCAGCGGAGGAAGAAGTTGAAACGTCCTCTAACTTGCAGACCAGAAGCACAAAGTCATGGCTGATCCCTGGGAACATGCTACGTTCTACAGCATGGGGCATTTTTCCAGCTTTGGACTCAGCTAACAGGCTCCAAAGACGCAGTTAAACTAACAGTCACCAACTCCTCACACAGACGCTTCATCTGTTTTAAGAACCCCACTGGCTTCTCCACTATGCAGTGAATTTGGAAGTCACCAAATGCTGCCCTGTGATCGCCACCGAAGCTTCCATAACTAAGCACCGTGCCCTCATGTCAATGACCTGCAGAGTGTGCTCCCAACTGCCCCACGTGCTCCCAGCTGGACAACACGATGTACCTCACCTTTATTTATTGGGACAGCCTGATACACACTGTGGCCACTTTTACCTCTTGTATTTTTTTGAAATTATTGAATTACTTTCTGCGCTCAGGTCCACTGTTTCCTCAAAACAGATGTATGCTGTCTTCAAGCTGAAAGCTGTATTTATAGGCTCGATATCTATCTGATTTATTGACCTAAAAAACCCTACTCCAGGGACAGCCACAAAGCCACACAATATTTTCTAAAATTGGCTCCTGGTTTGGAGTCACTGTGACAAGAGGAGCACAGCCTCCACCAGCAGCTTCCCAATATGCAGGTTGGTGCATTGCTTCCAAAATCAAGTTTGATTTTTAATCCCTAGATCAACATCTCCAAGTCTTTTTTAGTAAAACAAAATAATGCCAGAAAACACATTGGTTTCTTGGAAAAACACCAGAATTTGCCACTTTCTCCTTTTTCTTTTTGGAGAACACCAACACAAAATACCAAACACGTACCCAAGTGAAGATCTTTGCTTCCAAAACACTTTGGAAACATCTTTTTTCCCACTCAGAGTACCACTGCTGTGTGCAGTACACAGTATTTCTATGATGACTATTTCTATGACAGATCTATGTCTCACTTGCACACCTGCTCACGATGCCCAACTGTCCCTTTACGTGTCCGTTTGAGACGCTGCAATGACTTTCATTTCCCCGCAGAGCCCTCGATGGGAACCATCAAAAAGGAGCCAACAGATCACCGTGCCCAAGGCTGTACTCACTGGCGTGCTGCTGTCCGAAAAGGTGTTCATGCTGATGGAGCTGCTCATCTTGTCAGAGGACAGGGAGGGCGGGGAGGGGCTGCGCTTGCCCAGCTGCTCGGGGCGCAGGTCCTGGCGCTGCAGGTACTGCCGCCATGCGCGCTGGATGCTGGGCAGAGAGCAAAGCACACAGTTGGTGAATGCATCCACAGGAAGGATTTATGCTAAGAACCACTGAGGTTGGAAAAGACCTCCAAGATCAGCCACTCCAACCATCCGCCCGTCACCAATGTTGCCCACTACGTGTCCCTCAGTACGACATCTAAACGTGGTGGTCTTGTCTCTGTGCGCTTTGTTTTGAAAATTACCATGCACTTCTACCCTGTGTAGGAATTCCACTGTCACTGCTAGCGTATCTTGAGATACTTGTTAAGTAGATGGAATTCTTTATTACCTCTGTAGGCCTTACATTATGCACTCCTGGTGTATCTTGGGATGCCTGTTAAGTAGATACATTTCTATGTCTCTAATTCTTAAATCACTTGTGCGAGTTTAAATCTAAGACTGTACTTAACTCAGCAATTCTCTCACAGCTTGCAAACACAGAGGAAGACAATTATCTGCTTAAGGAAACGAACAGCATAAAAATCTTACACCAGTAATAAAGATTATAACACAGACATGGTTGGCCCTTCAGAGCCAGCCCAGCACCCTCTGAAATCCACCTCCCACTGCCAATGGGACTTAAAACTGCTCCAGAGCAATGTGTGGGAGTGCAGCAGGAGCTCTGCTTCCAAACCCTGAGCTTTGACTGTGAGGAGGCGAAAAGCCAGCCAAGCCCACAGCCCCTGAGCATCTGCCTGGGCAGGGTTCTGGAGTACTTTCCCTGGGCTGCAGCTCGGCAGGTGGCAGTGCGGCACCACCAGAGATCCTTGCTATCAAATCTGTGCTGCTAACAGCATGGATGTGAAAGGGAATTATGGAACAATCTGCCAACCCCATGGAAAAACAGGGCTAAGTTCTGACCTGAGACTCATCTGAGCTACAGCAGTGCAATGAGACTGAAATGTTCCTTTTGGGGATTTTTAACATTTGATTTGCTGGCAGATGAACTCAGCAAATCCTTCACCATGCCTGGTAATGGCATGCAGCACCCTGACCTCGGTGTGCTCTCAGCTCTGCAGAGCTCCCTGGTTGCTCTTCCAGCAGCACAGTGCGACCCTGGGGGCTCAGCACCAGCCCAGGGAACTCCTTGCTGTGACCCCCAGCCCCACTCCTGCTGGCACTTTGGAGGTGTGAAATACGGACCACGCTCCTTCCTCCTGCAGGGAGCCTTACAAATACTTTCTGGTGCAACCCAAAGGATCCAAAGCCTTTCCTACAGATGTTTATTGTCCTAGAAGTACACTTTCCACTTTGCCTTTGTAATAAAGGTGTCACTTCTGCTCCGAGTTCCACAAACAGGAAAAAAAACCACACAGCCCCCAGATGTTGCTGCTAAGATCTCATGGCTCTCCCAGCTCTCTGGCAGGAGGTTGTGGGGAGGTGGGGATCAGCCCCTGCTCCCAGGTAACAGCAATAAAGGCCTCACCTTGTACCAGGGGACAATGTGCATTTCAGAGCGGTTTGGATTGGTCAAGCCCCATGCTGTTTTCATACAACAGCTTTAAGATGGACAGGAATACCAACTAAAGCCCCCAGGTGCAAATGCCAGCGGAGGAGCTTCCAGTAATTGTGTTTTGCTTTAAAAAAGAATTTGCATCTTCACATCTCCAGCATTTATACTTCACATCACCTCAGCTCCATGCCCCACTGCAAAACACATACCAGTAGTATTTACATATTAATGCTTACATGCATTTTCCATTCTAAAGCATGAGCATAAACTGAAGTTAAGGTACAGCTGCCCCTCTCAGAAGCTCTGTGGACTTTTCTTTTCAGTGGCCTTATATTGGCATGTCTAAAAGACACTGGCTGGATTTTAATTTGAAACTTCATGTCCTTTCAATATTTTAAGACAGCATTAATGTTTTAACAACAAGTATAGCACATTAGGTGCAGATTTCAGTTGAAACTGAACTTCAGTAAGTACAACTGTGTAATGCTTCAGCCTACAGCTCAGAATTTTGCCAGTGGCTTTGGGGCTCAAGCACAACCTGCTCTGTGCTCTGCCTCAGTATACTTAGAGTTGCACAGACACATGGGATGGACACAAGCTGGGTTCTGAGGTTCAGGAATCTGACAAACTCAGCAGCACTTAAATGCAGAAAGGACATTCCTGGTTACTCACATTTTCACTTTGGTTTCCAAGGGCTGTAAGTTGATACGATATTTTTCAATATTATTTTCCTCATCCATGGCAAGCTGATGGCTATGAAACAGAAGAGAAAATGGATTTAATGTGTCTCAGCATGACGCTTTTGCAATCACTGTGAATTAATTCAGAAAACTTGACAAGACCATACAAGAGCTGCTCGTGTTCATGTGTTGCTGCCTCTGGGGGAAGGCATTTGGATCCCCAAGTCCAGCCCCACCTCACTTAACAAGAAGTAGGAATTTGGACCCAGTTCTCAGACTGGGGCCTGCTTGAGTCCTTGCAGCTTTCTGTACTAAACCATCCAGATGCCAGCCCCAGAGTCAGGCACACCCAGCAAAGAAGCTGCTGCAAACAAAACCACTGGCAAATATAGTAGATATTCTTGCTAAATTAACTTTCATCCCCAGGGCTACATTTGAAAAGCTGGAGAGTAAAATGGAAAGTAACAGTGGTAATGCTGGCAGCAAATGAATTACATCAGCAAAGGCCATACAAGAAGATGAAGAAATATTCTTTGTGATTTATCAGTGACTGAGGAGTCGGTGCTGCAAACCGATTGCTTTGAAAAAGCGATTTTAAAATGTTACAAGATAAAAATCGAACGTCTTGGGACACTGCTTTGGATGGGACTGGCAACATGAATGAAAGAACTCTGCATGAAAATTGGTAAGATCAGACCCCAACCTGGGGAGTTATTTTGAGACTGACTGGACGCTTAATTACGTCACCCAATCAGCACCAGTTTTCAGGAATTATCTTCCTGTAACTAAAAGTAAAGATTGTTTGTGGGATAGATGTGAGATCTTGTAGATCCAGTATATTGCCAGGTGAAAAATATACGCACGATAAAAAACACACGTGTGAGATATAGTGGAAATCACACCTTTACCTTTGAAGCGAGTATTTGCCATCATTGGCCTGTTCCAGGGTGTTCTGGAGCTTTCTGAGCTCTTCCTGCAAGAAGAGAGAGAAATGTTTCATTTCTCATTGGCTGACACTGGAGATCCCCCCTCAAGCTCCAACCATTGGGCCCAACCACAAAGCACAACGTTCCCTCAGGCAGCCTTCAGGGCACGCTTCCCAGTGCACATAATAGCTACAAAGAAACCAACACCTTTATCAACATACCCAGCACGTAAAGATCAGACCTACAAAAAATAATAGCAGACTGAAAGAGGAAAGTGTTCCTTTGTTTGCGAGGTGTGTGGCTGTTGTGATTTGAAAGATGGTTTTGGGAAGAGGTGATGAGCATCAGCTCATACCAAAGGGCACTTCCCTTTGTTCTGCAATCAAACTGTAGTTGCACAATTAAGAGAGTTGCTAGCTGAGATTTAATATGAAAGATAAATGAAGATAGCCTGCCATCTTCACCAGGGTATTTGCATTGGATCCTGCTTCAAAAGAGGAGATGCCAAGAGCTGAACTGCAGACGTAGATGGGGTTCCCTGCATCCACATCCATCCCTGGGGGTCCAGGAAAAATCCCTCATGGATTTCAGCATGGACAAAGGACTTAAAAACTAAGTTGTGTTTTTCTAGCAGTGCCACACTCTGTTCAGAAGGGGTGGGAGCTGAGAGATGGTGGAGATCTGTAACCAAGCTAAAATTGAGAAATACGCAACGTGAAGTGCAATAAAAACTATTTAAATACATATATTTGTTTTAAGCAGGTGCAAACCTAGAATTAAAGCAGATTATAATCCATGTTATGTTGTCTTCCTGTTGCCAGACCATCTCCGTGGGCCAACAAGGTGGTTCGCTGTAGGATGGGGAATGCTGGGACATGCTGCAGCGCACAGCTTGTTCTCACAGCCACTGAAGGAGAAGAGTATCGGTCTGTTTCCACCTGATTTACTCATGAAGGTGCATCTCTATCCTCTTTTATAATACATAACATAAATACATCGCCCCAGAAATGTCCAACTGGCCAATAATGAAAGCACACCGGGAGGTGGGAAGTCCATGAAGACACAAAGATGTCAACCCATGGCTTCTCTTACCTCATCACATTGGGAACTAAATGGAAAAGCAAGAGCTACTCAGAGGTATGGAGGTAGGGAAGGGGGCCCACAACCATCTTACACAGGGATATGGATTCTCAGGAGATTAACAAGATAAAATGAGGATATTTTCATCATCCCGAGATGAATCGCACACTTTTGCTTCCAATGCCACCATTGCTGTCGTTGCAGCCCAGTGGATCTGACAGTGCCTTCTCAAACACAACCAATTTTTAATCTTGCACACATGTGATGCAGAAGCCAGGCTGCTCCCCCATAACCTGCCACTGGAAATAACCCATCCTCAAACTTCCAGGGCTTTGCTTTCTTTTTATGCTCAGTCCTTCCTGGCACATTAAAAATAAGCAACTTCCAAAATTGTTTTCCTTGAACGCAGTTTGGTTCAGAAGATAACCTTTATTCTCCCATATTATTCTGCTGGCCATTTTTTCAGCGTGTCCCAGAGCACTGTAAGGTAATTTACAATGTGAAAACAATTTGCAATTGACTTTATATATAGCCCTGGGTGACAAAACCTGCACAACTTACATAAATCATTTCTTGTGTTTGACATCATTTTCTATTAACCTAAGGGTGAAGACAGAACAAAAAAAGTAAAAACTGAAATCAGTTGTGACATTTTTGACTATTCAGCCTTTCAATTAAACATCACCAGCCTGCCTATCTAAAAGCCATAACATAAGACAACTACAAAAGGGGCACAGTAACGTTTGCATAATTGGGAAGAGAAGGAGACATAAAATCCATACTAATTTCAGTTTTGCGTCATTAAACATGAAGCATTGATTATTGCTCCTTGCAACCATGGCTGTGGGCCAGCTCTGCTGCTGAGCCCGGACCCTGGGTGGCATTGAGCAGGGGTTGATGACAGCAGCCAACTGGGAGATGTTTGGCACAGGTTACACCAGGAGCGACCCAGCTGCAAACTCAGGCTTGGGAAAATTAAACTGGAAGAGATCCACGCTTCTGTTGGAACACGTGATGAATTACGGTGCCTCCATAAAACTTGGTAGAATGTAAACATACTGTGAAATTTATTGCAGTTTTCATTTTCCTACTTCAGTAGAATACAGATGTTAATAGTACTCGTTGGAGCTGCAGAAATATGTATAAACATTAAAGCTGGAAAGCACCTCTAGGATCATCAGCCCAACCAACCCATCCCCACTGCACTTGGGGCTCCCCAGTTCTGCCAGCAAAGGCAGAGAGGTGACTTCTGCACAAGGCCACTTAGGAAGGAAAAAAGCATTTCCTGGATGTTTCTAAGCCACGCATACCTTTGGGAAATAAATATTCAAACAGTAAATGCAGTGGTCCCTCAAGTCTACTTTGGAGAAGTTTGCTTCCAAAGGCCAATATTAGCCTAATGTCTAAGGGAAGAACTCTGCAGATGCAAAGTCGTGCCTAGAGAAATATTTACCTGGAATAGCAGGCTGTGAGCCTGTGCTGTCACTGTGCCCAAAAATACCCATTTGGGTCAGTGGAGCTATTTATACCCACGGGTTTGTACCAGCGCAGAGAAATCAGGGCAGAGGCCACGTGTTGGAAATTAATGTTCAGAATCCTTTCTGAACATGTGTGCCATTGTTGGAGCATCTCTGCCTCAGAGCTCTGCCCGCTGCTGTACAACAGGGATTCCCCAGGCAGAGACAGAGGTTGGGGCAGAAAGCACCCCCCCAGCACAGGAAAACCCCAAAACTGCAGCAGCAAAGACCTGTTTTTCCAATTTATAACTAAGAGCAGTTATTCAAACACGTCATCGAATCATAAAATGGCTTTGATTGGAAGGGACCTCACAGAACACCCAGCCCCAACCCCCAGTCAAAGAGGCTATGCCCAATCCTTACCCAAGCCGCAGGATGTATTTTTTTTAATTCAAATTTCACGTTACTCATGTCCTCCTATCCCACTGTGTCATTTACAGTGCTTGAGGGTCCCAGGAAGGAGCTGTGGAACCTCACCAGTTCACCTGCTGGGCTGCAGCAGCACCTCTGTGCACAGCATCTCTGCTGGGCTCCGTTTGACCATCGCTTTTCCCTGCAGTGCCTCACTGAAAACCAGCTCCCAGCCTTGTAAGGGTATCAGAGCAATAATCCTTTAGCAGGAACACTTTATGCTCAGTTTTCCCAGGGAAGACCATGGTCCCCGTGTTAAATGATGCCCCAGCGTGGGCAACCAGCAGACCGCCTGCATTGCATGCATCACAGGGGTGCGTAGAGCCTTCTGTGTCCCATTTAAGGGCTGGAGCACAGCAGCTAACACAGCACCCCTGCACACTGAGCAGTCAGTAGCAGTGGTAATTAAACGTCAGACAGTGGCACACGCTCCATATCTCACAACAAAAAGAGACAGCAGATGATGGAGGCTGTTGTGTATTGGGGGCGGGAGGGGGAAGCCCTACTGGGCAATCTAATAGGGAACACTTCAGCTATGAATATGCAAGGAAAGTACATTAAGTGCACACGATTAACATAGCTGCAGGGGCTCCGCAATGCACAGCTGTCAGAGAGATTTACCAATCACATTGAAAAAAACCACGCCATCTTCGGAGTCACCTCAATCTACTTCAGTTGCAGATACAGACTTAGGAAGAAAATACAAATTAGCGTGGTGGAAACGTGTGAGCTGCTGCACGGAGACACAGCAAGGCTGTCCACTCAGACCCTGGCCCATAAGCTCCAATCTCACAAGTACCTTGTGCTTTTGGTTGTGATACCTCCAGGGAAGGAACAGCCCTTGCTGTCTCCTTGTACATTAGGATTAGTTAAAATGGACTGTGGTTATTAACCACTAATTAATAGCAAGCAACTTCAGACTCTTGTATCACTCCTGCAGGCTCTTCAGAGTCCTCCAGCTACAGACATTGCTCCAGTGGGCACAGGGCAGTGAGCACATGCCAGCTCTGCCCACACACCCATCCTTCCCCACCAGCCAAAGCCCAAGGGCTGTTCCCAGAAGGATTCACCACACCAAACAGCAAATCAGGCCAAGGACAGGGCTGGCATCACTGATGCAACTCAGGCTGGAAGGATGTGAGCAATAATCAGAGCACTGCTGGGATGGGCACTGAGCATCACAGCACTCTGGTGTAGATGAGCACACTGATACAGCAGCAAGGCAGCCAGGAGCTGAGGCACAGAGCGTAGGGGAACAGCAGCCATTAGGCAATGAACTCCAGCAGCTTAGTGCTCATGTGGCTGGATACCAGTGAGATATTTTGCCCGTTTCCTATGTTACTGAGAATCAAAGTTATGCTCACAGAACTGCTCCAGTTGAGGAGCTGTTGGGGCTTCGAAGGCTGGAAGCTAAGGCTGGGTTGTGGGCAGCTCCTTTGGTCCTTCCACTGAAAACCCAGCAAGGTAGAGATGGAAAAGCTTTATTAGAGCAGTGAGTATACTGTTCTGCTGAAGATAAACTCTACACTGCATCATTTCTCAGTTTCACTCATTGCTGGAAGTTCCCATGGGTTGTGATTGCCTCATATTCCACAGGACACTTCACACACTTTAATACATGAATCAGGAATGTTTTCATTTTCTTCAGATAACATCCCTCCTTCTCTGCTAATACCCTACAGACATACTATCTAATTGCTTCTCTTCTCTATATTGTAAATCATGATTCTCTCTCCTGATCGTTGTTAAATCAAGACAAGACTTGATACGAAACTAAGTGTGAAAGCAGCATAGAGACCAAAACTGCTGGCAGCCCTGGCCTTCAGACCCATGAACTGAGCTGGTGCCCATTCCTTCTGCCACCATCCTGGCTGCACAGGACAGCTGCAATATTAAGTACTCTCCTGAGCACGATATAAGGGCAGGAGGGAAACACAGCAATGCTGTGACATCTCCCAGGGGACAGGAGCACTCGCAGAACGACCCACTGAGCCCTTCATTTTCTGTGATGTCAGTAAATTGTTGGGTTTTTTTCCTTCCTTCACTTCTACCCTCAGGAAGAGCAATGTATTGCACCATGGCTGCAGAGCTACAGCAGCTCTGGAGACCTCGCCCAAGGATGAATCCCACTAAGAAGCCAAGTGAGATTCCTTTAGAAAGCACCTTCTTTCTGCTATCACTGTGGTCAAGACTTCCAGCAGCACTACTTCTGCCTCAGAATACACACACTTCTACCTTCTGCCAACAGAACAAACTGGAGAGAAATAAGCCTCTTGACATCCTGGCTTCTCTGCAGCTGAAGTGCTTCTGAAACTCCATCTAGTCAGAGCACGGAGTAAAAAGGTCTGGAACAGTGTGAATGCCATGGGAGAGCAGGGAGAGGAGTCTGAGAGGGAAGGAAAAA